GGGGGGGGGGGGGGGGGGAAGATGCTTCTTGCTCCATACTTCTAATCGTAACTCTCATTAGTCTGTCAAAAAGCGCTATCTTCGTGCGCGAATCTGCTGAAGAGTCCTTTATGATTTTCTCATATACGCCCTCATTACCTCATTCTAGTTGAGATTACACGACACGATGTTGCGTACTACTGGATCAAAAGCTATTAGAACCAGTAAAGAACAGGCGTAAGTAAATTTTGTATTTGTGCGATATCCGGCTAGCTGTATGAATCTGCAAATATGATCAGTGGCTGATTTTTGTTTTCTAAATCCTACCTGTCCTTATCTTGAGCTTTTATCAAGCTTTCCTTCAGTTTGCAAACCGACTACTCACATGAAAATTCTGTGCGTACAAGTCGAAAAAAAGTCAAAAAATTTCGCTAAAGTTTGATGTGCACGGTTAACACTCGGCTCTCAACTGAAACATCATAATGCAGCTCTCACAAAACTAAGCAAGCAAAGAACATCTGTCAAGTTTTTTTAGTCACATGGACGTTTCTTGCCACGAAATCAGTTCTAGCATTTTATCGCGTCGTCCCAGGCCGTACGACTTGGTTGTGCCCTACATAAATTTTTTGGCCTGATAGCTTTTGAAGAGCGAGAGACGCTTTTAATCAGATTTTTATTCGGCGAGGCTTATTTGCCACAGAGGTATGCTTAACTGAAAATCGAATGGAAATTAATAGAAAGATGTGGGATGTAGCAAATCCGAAGAGTCTACAGTTACCGCAGCACAATGCAGACCGCATCTTGAAGGCCGTGAGCTTCTTAATAAACAATCAAATGCCACTTGAATTAGATTTCTAACGTGACATGCTAAAGGTGTGTTATGTAACCTACTTGACGCAGCACATCTCGAACTCGCAAACAAGTAGAAGACGTTTGACAGACCGTTTACCACTTCCAGATCAAAGGCACCAGGCAACCCTTTTTAACCAAGAAGGTTGATTATTCTTGCATATCCAGATATACGGAGGTTACAGTACCAGAATTTGATACGCTATTTTCTCACTTCCTGCAGTGTTACTTTTGGTGTTCTGTCTTCCAATACGTCGTTAGTGTTGACAAAGGCTGCACTATAACAGAAAATTCAAAGTCGCCGTTATTTTGCTAAAGTGCTGTAGATGTTGTAGCAGTTGCCGCAAATCATCGAATCATTCCGTTCTGTATGCTACGTTTCACTGAATCTCAAGTAAGGTGTGCAGGAAAAACTATCAGTCAATTTTTGACGTACCACAACAGCAGTGCAATACTAAAAATGCTAACGAGCCAATGTAAGCTCGGTTGTGACCATCACTTGGACTTCGTGGCAGCAGTGCCACAGCTAATATTTATTATATTAATTGCTTGACGATGACACAGTGCAGAACGGAGGGCCTAGAGAACAGAGGAAGGGAGATAAGAGGACGAGGGGAAGAAATGGGCTTTCGCAGAAGCTTCGATGAAACGTCCAACGCTAATTAACATTTTGTTCTCTGGCTTATTATAGATAAAATGACCCGGATGGACCAGGATCTGTTCATTTCAGTTCTGGTCAATATTTATATGTTCGCGCACAAATCCATTGTATATATTATTTCATTTATAGTAGCATTGTTTTTTTTTTGAGTAAAATAATTATTCCAAGATAATAATAGCTCCACTTTTCGTAGAATTCCCCAAACGGCCAGAGTGAGCAGGCATCTTTCCACTCTTAACTAGAATAAGGCCGCATAGCAAGCGATAAAACAAATGAAAAAAAAAGCAAAATCCAGCCAGTGCTGCCTTAAATTAACCCAGTAGTGATAAGCAATTTGACAGGACGGAAAGTGAGCTTCGGCTAGGGAATTACTGAAAACAGCTGCAACAACAAAACTGCCCGCACAGGCGATACGGGAATATCATGTTAGTGTGATGTTACTGGAACGCTTCTCCATGCGTGGCGCAACTATGCCAGGACTTGTTCAGACCAAAAAATTGATCAATCAAAAAACAGTCCACAGCAACATTTGTACATGTAAAACTGTATCCACCAGCATGCTGCGATGAACTATACGAGTGCTCCTGGCATTTTTCTATAGAATCGTACGATGAAGAGAGTGAGGTTATTACGGTAACAAATACGCACACATAAATTTCATTCGGAAAGGAAAGACGACAGATTAGAATGATATGGTAAGGGATGGGCATAACACGCTGCACGCCTGGTGAACGATAGATGCACTCTTCAAAACTGCGCCAGGAAGCACACTGTGCCACATGCACATATAAAATTCTCAAATAGGTTCTATTCATTACGCCATTTGAGTACCTCGCGCATAGCTACGTATTGGCACAGTATGCTCACTCATCAAACGAATAAATGAAAACTTAATCAGCGAACAGCTGGAACGCATGCCAAACTGTTCGTGACTAATGAATAAAACCGCATGTAATATCCGGGAGGGAGCGAAGAATGCGCAGCCGGAAACCAAACTTGCTGTGTCCCATAAACGCGGGCCCAAAATAAGCCTTATTTTGTGAACTCAAAATGGAATGAGCTGAAAAACTAAAGTTTGGAAATTTAGACTGATCTAACTTTTAAACGACCTTAGCCGACAGGCGTGTTCCGCTGAAAAATAGCATGTTGTCGTGCATGGGTTCGACTCCGACAGTGGGACAACCAATCCCCCTACGATTCATTCTAATCGTTTCAGTAGTAGATGGGTACCGGCATATGCCAGGGAGCCAAACCCACCACCAGCTTGCCTGTAAGCAACCGTCGAAAGAGGCAGCCATCGAAAACCTTTTGGCCATTGGCATTTGCTACTATTCGGGACAGTTCCTGGGTGCCTCCGCATAACGAATACTTTTTGAAAAGGTTTAAAATGGCTGAATGCTTTAATTCTGCATTCATTTATAGCTACGCATAAAAATACAAAGTGATGCTGAACTTCAGAAAGAAGCACCCCATGATTAGAAATTCGATTGCTTTTCATACTCTGAATCATGAAGCAACTCATGATAATCATCTTAACCAGCTCCGGTGCGTAATGAATAAGCAACCGGTTTATAACAAGAACGCATAACTACAACGGTCCTCCACCACTTACAACTGCTTATTTCAATTCGGTAACTATCAGGACAAAAAAAATGTAACACTTTTTTTTGCAAGGATTATTGAAAGCGTCCAACCAAATTTAACTTTTTGCACCTAAAATTTCCTTTCGAGTGCAATGATCCTGATATTGCTGGACGCAAAAGAGACATGCAAGTGAGTGAACTGTTTGTACTATGGTTGTTCTTCGACCGAGGAAAATGATCCCATAGCACTCAAATTTCCTTGTAATCAGCACTGAATCCCTTTGAAAACTATTCAGTCTCCGACTGTGTTCTATCAGTAATGTTTGTTTTTGAGGAATATTGGAAAACTGGCAAGATTTAGCCGATGAACTACGCAAGAGACTAAAAAAAGTGATGTGTTTCTAGAAATGAGTTTTGGAAAAACGAAGACAGAAGCAGGTAAATTGAAGCGCAGGTAAATTGAAACTGAGAATTGGCTAGTGCAGCTTCGATCACAGCACTGGTGAAAAATTGTTGATTATGGTGGTGGATAGGAAGATGCGAAATAATGAAACAACGGCTGGCGAAGTGACAAAGTGACTGTTTTTGGAGCTAATTCTGAAAAATGCAAGAGTAAACGAACGTGGTATTGTAGTCACCGTAGACGACATCATAGTCACCGGCAGGCTCAATAAATAGATCCTCGTACGGTTTCGGCGCCATGTCCACTGGTGCACTAGTCACACCGTCCCCTAACGCGTCATTTCCCGGGATCTGCTTTCGTCCGGTATTTGACCCATCTGCGTTTGGCGCTGCAGCTGAAAGAAAAAATTCTGTAAGTTGAAAGTGGCAAGCGTCAATCGCTATCGAAAGTGTAAGTCAATGGAGAATGTACCATTTGGGCGCTACTTTTTGGCGCAAACTTGTGCCAGTTACTCTTCTGCCCATATTATCAGCCAAATGCAATTTTACACATTAGATAAGTATTATCCAGAATATGTTGTTTGCTGAAATATGCAAAAGAACAGTTTAGCACAGAGAAAAATGGAAGAGTGCAAAAGTCAACTGTTATAAACATAGGTTGTTGTGGAATTTAGGTGAAATCACATTAATCGTTGCGAAAACATAACTTTTATTCGAAATTATTTCACGAGTAAAGCGCTCTCGCTTTTTTTCTTCCGGAATCTTTACGAAATTACGCAAAGCATTCATCCAACGATGTAATTAAACACAGAACATAACCCAGGCTAGAACGCACCAGGCGAACCAGTGCGATCATGCGTTTTTGCATTAAACTTTGAGGTACTCCATCATATTTCCCTGCCCTTGCCTCACGCCCACCACTCGCTATTCTCGCCCCTCCCCCTTCCCCCGCTCCCGCCCTGGATATCCATCTTCTCCAATCGGTGATATTGTGCTGCATTATACAGCACGATTATAAAGCGGTATTCCTTGAGTACGGTGCTATATGTGGTCCAAAGCCCCTGCTGAGCGGTCTAACGCTCTTTATTGTGGGCTTGTTTATGGTGTTGAGCGGTCTAATGCTCTTCACAGTGGGGTTGTTTGTGATTGGGGGGGTGGGTGGTCGTCCGTAGTGGTGAGATGTGGGCCAGTACAGAGGGGGAGGGGGGAGGGGGCAGGGAGTGTTGGGGAGTTGGTCGGGGCTGGGGGGAGGCCGGTGTTGATGGGTGGTTGGTGTTAGAGGGCGGCCAGTGTTGGGGGCGCTCAGTGTTGGGTAAAGCGGGA